GGGAGGGGAAGAGCATGAGAACCAGTTGAGTGGGTTGGCTGCTCCTCCAGGCTCTTCCCCTGGAAAAATAATGGGAATGGGGGAAATGGGAGGGGAAGAGCATGAGCAGGGATGCTGCCGCTCCTCCAGGCTCTTCCCCTGGAAAAATATGGGATAGGGGGAAATGGGAGGGGAAGAGCATGAGGAAACTCAGTTTAGCAGGGATTTGGTTGCTCCTCCAGGCTCTTCCCCTGGAAAAACCCGGAAAAAGTATGAGGCCAAGACCCTGAGGAAGCACAATCTGAGTAGGGATTCAGCTGCTCCTCCAGGCTCTTCCCCTGGAAAAATAATGGGAATGGGGGGAAATGGGAGGGGAAGAGCATGAGGAAACTCAGTTTAGTTGGATTTGGCTGCTCCTCCAGGCTCTTCCCCTGGAAAAACATGGGATAGGGGGAAAATGGGAATGGATGAGCGTGAGGAAACTCAATTTAGTGGGATTTGGCTGCTCCTCCAGGCTCTTCCCCTGGAAAAACCCGGAAAAAATATGAGGTCAAGACCCTGAGCAGGAATGCTGCTGCTCCTCCAGGCTCTTCCCCTGGAAAAATAATGGGAATGGGGGGGAACGGGAGGGGAAGAGCATGAGCAGGAATTCAGCTGCTCCTCCAGGCTCTTCCCCTGGAAAAATAATGGGAATGGGGGGAAATGGGAGGGGAAGAGCATGAGCAGGAATGCTGCTGCTCCTCCAGGCTCTTCCCCTGGAAAAAAAACCGGGAATGGCAGGAAAACGGGAGGGGAAGAGCATGAGCAGGAATGCTGCCGCTCCTCCAGGCTCTTCCCCTGGAAAAAAAGATGGGATAGGGGGAAAACGGGAATGGAAGAGCATGAGCAGGAATGCTGCTGCTCCTCCAGGCTCTTCCCCTGGAAAAATAATGGGATGGGGAAAATGGGAGGGGAAGAGCATGAGCAGGAATTCAGCTGCTCCTCCAGGCTCTTCCCCTGGAAAAATAACGGGAATGGGGGAAAATGGGAGGGGAAAAACATGAAAAATCCTGGAATGGTGGGAAAATGTGAGGGGAAGACCCCGAGGACGCTCAGCCCGAGCTCCGGCCAAGACGAGGACGCTGCACCCCACAGGGAGCTCGCCCGGCTGGGGCGGCTCTGGGAGTCGGGAAGGACATCGGGAACGCTCCTGGAATTTCCTGGGAATGCTCTGGGATGGTCTGGGAATGCTCTGGGATGCTCTGGGAATGCCTCACCTTGAACATGTCGAGGTTGGCCGCCTTGAGCCGCTCGTCCCCGCGGGAGCCGCCGCGCGGGCTCGAGGCCTCGTTGTCCGACAGCACGATGACGTCCGGGGACGGCGTCAGGCGGCCCCGCTCCGAGTCACTGAGGGAACACAGCGGGATCAGAGGGATCCAGCACCGGGATCCACCCCAGATCCAGCAGGGATCGACCCCATCCATCATCCCAGACAGCCCATGGGTTTGGTCCCAGCTGGGAATGGGGGGATGACCCCAATCCAACACCAATCCCTCCATCCATCATCCCAATGAGTCCAATCCCTCTCAAACATCCCATGGGTTTGATCCAGTGGGAGAATCCCAGTTGGGAATGGGGGGATGACCCCAACCCAACCCCTCCATCATCCCAAACATCCCCTGGGTTTGGTCCAGTGGGAGAATCCCAGCTGGGAATGGGGGGATGACCCCAATCCAACATGGATCCACTCCCATCCATCATCCCAAAGAGTCCAATCCCTCCCAAACATCCCCTGGGTTTGATCCCAGTTGGAGAATCGCACCGTCCGGCATCCGAACATCCCTAGGTTGATCCCAGCTAATGGGGACACCCAATCAACACACCTCCATCCATCATCCCAAACATCCTCTGATCCAGGGGGAGAATCCCAGCTGGGAATGGGGGGGTGACCCCAATCCAACATGGATCCACTCCCATCCATCATCCCAAAGAGTCCAATCCCTCCCAAACATCCCCTGGGTTTGATCCCAGCTGGGAATGGGGGGATGACCCCAATCCAACACCAATCCCACCCCTCCATCATCCCAAACATCCCCTGGGTTTGATCCAGGTGGGAGAATCCCAGTGGATGAGGCGCAGTCTGATGCGGATTCCGGGATGTTCCAGCCTGGAATGGCTCATTGAGCCCTCCCAAAAATTCCAAGACCTATCCCAGCCCAAATGGCTCGAAATTCCAAGGTCTATCCCAGCCCAAATGGCTCGAAATTCCAAGGTCTATCCCAGCCCAAATGGCTTGGAAAAGCACATTCCCTGAGGGAGAATCCAAGCAAATATCCGACGGGTCCGTGAGGGAATCGGGAAGCAGAAGGAGTGTCTGGGAAGAGGAAAGGTTGGGATGCCGGTGTTGGGATCCAGGGATCATCCCCAGGGAGGAGGAGACGCCTTTGCCATCCCAGATTTCCTGACTCGGAGCTGGAGAGCCTCGGAAAACCGCGGGATAATCCGGAAGGAGCCGGGAATGTCGCGCTCTGGCTCCCCTGGAACGTCCTTGGAGCGAGGATGTCGTGGAATGTCAGATCCCAAAGTGTCCGATCCCAAAGTATCCCAAAGTGTCCCATCCCAAAGTGTCAGCTCCCGGTCCCAGATTCCGAAGATGCTCCGAGTTTGTCGGTTCCAAACGTTCCTGTGGATATTCCAAAGGGCTGGAGCCGTCCCTTTTCCAGCAGGGAAGGTCTGGAGCATCCAGTTGGAGTTTCCAGAGGATCCAGTTGGAGTTTCCAGAGGATCCAGTTGGAGTTTCCAGAGGATCCAGTTGGAGTTTCCCCCCCAGGCAATCCAAGTTTCATCCCAGGAATTGGAAATCGGAGGGATCCGGAAGCAGATCCCGGTCCAGGGGTGGTTTTTTCGGGATCAATCCAGGCTGGATCATTCACATTCCACGGAGGGGAACGACACGAAGCCAAAGCCCAAATCCAACGGGAAAATCCAGGAGGAATCAACAGATTTCCTTCGTCCAGGGAAGAGCGGAATTCCGAGGGATCCACCGGAACGGGAGCGACATTCCCGAGGAAAATCCAGGGAAATGAGACACCCAAATCCATGAAAATCGGCAGTGATTCCCAAACTTGGAGCAGGACATTCCCAACTCCTTCCAGGGCTCATCCCCAATCCGAGTGTGCGGTGCTGGAGCCCAACCAGGCACAATATCCATGGAATTCCAGGGATGCAGGGACCAACCTGGCCTTGGCCACTTCCAGGGATGAGGAACCCCCCAATCCCTTGGATAAACCTGGATCACCCCTCTTTGGTGAGAAAACATTCCCAACTTTCCCTAATCCCACTGTTTCCCGTTCCTGGAATGAAAACCAAACTCCTGGAAGTGTCTTTTCCCTGCTGGGATCCTGGAAGTGCCTTTTCCCTGCTGGGATCAAACCCAAATTCCTGGAAGTGCCTTTTCCCTGCTGGGATCAAACCAAATTCCTGGAAACACCTTTACCCACTGGAATGAAACCCAAACTCCTGGGATCAAACCCAAACTCCTGTAAGTGCCTTTTCCCTGCTGGGATCCTGGAAGTGCCTTTTCCCTGCGCGGATCCTGGGAGTGCCTTTTCCCTGCTGGGATCAAACACAAACTCCTGGGAGTGCCTTTTCCTGCTGGGATCCTGGAAGTGCCTTTTCCCTGCTGGGATCAAACCCAAACTCCTGGAAGTGCCTTTTCCCTGCTGGAATGAAAACCAAACTCCTGGAAGTGCCTTTTTCCCACTGGGATCAAACTCCTGGAAGTGCCTTTTCCCTGCTGGGATCAAACCCAAACTCCTGGAAGTGCCTTTTCCCTGCTGGAATCAAACCCAAATTCCTGGAAGTGCCTTTTCCCACTGGGATCAAACCCAAATTCCTGGAAGTGCCTTTTCCCCATGGAATCAAACCCAAATTCCTGGAAGTGCCTTTTCCCACTGAGATCAACCCCAAATTCCTGGAAGTGCCTTTTTCCCAAGGAATCAACACCAAATTCCTGGAAGTGCCTTTTCCCTGTTGGAATCAAACACAAACTCCTGGAAGTGCCTTTTCCCTGCTGGGATCCTGGGAATGTTTTTTCCCACTGGGATCAAACCCAAACTCCTGGGATCAAACCCAAATTCCTGGAAGTGCCTTTACCCACTGGAATGAAACCCAAACTCCTGGAATCAAACCTAAATTCCTGGAAGTGCCTTTTCCCTGCTGTGATCCTGGATGTGCCTTTTCCCTGCTGGGATCCAACCCAAATTCCTGGAAGTGCCTTTTCCCACTGGGATCAAATCCAAATTCCTGGAAGTGCCTTTTCCCTGCTGGGATCAAACCAAACTCCTGGAAACACCTTTTATCCACTTGGATCAATCCCAAACTCCTGGAAGTGCCTTTTCCCTGCTGGAATCAAACCCAAAGTCCTGGAAGTGCCTTTTCCCTGCTGGGATCCTGGAAGTGCCTTTTCCCTGTTGGGATCAAACCCAAACTCCTGGGATCAAACCCAAACTCCTGGAAGTGCCTTTTCCCTGCTGGAATCAAAACCAAACTCCTGGAAAACACCTTTACCCACTGGAATGAAATCCAAACTCCTGGGATCAAACCCAAACTCCTGGAAGTGCCTTTTATCCACTGGAATCAAACCCCAAAATCCTGGAAGTGCCTTTTCCCTGCTGGGATCCTGGAAGTGCCTTTTCCCTGCTGGGATCAAACCCAAACTCCTGGAAGTGCCTTTTCCCTGCTGGGATCAAACCCAAACTCCTGGAAGTGCCTTTTCCCTGTTGGGATCCTGGGAGTGCCTTTTCCCGCTGGGATCAAACCCAAACTCCTGGAAGTGCCTTTTCCCACTGGAATCAAACCCAAACTCCTGGAAGTGCCTTTTCCCTGCTGGGATCAAACCAAACTCCTGGGAACACCTTTTATCCACTGGAATCAAACCCAAACTCCTGGAAGTGCCTTGTCCCACTGGGATCAAACCCAAACTCCTGGAAGTGCCTTTTCCCTGCTGGGATCCTGGAAGTGCCTTTTCCCGCTGGGATCAAACCCAAACTCCTGGGAGTGCCTTTTCCCTGCTGGGATCCTGGAAGTGCCTTTTCCCTGCTGGAATGAAACCCAAACTCCTGGAAGTGCCTTTTCCCTGCTGGGATCAAACACAAATCCTGGAAGTGCCTTTTTCCACTGGGATCAAACCCAAACTCCTGGCAGTACCTTTTCCCTGCTGGGATCAAACCCAAACTCCTGGAAGTGCCTTTTCCCACTGGAATCACTCAACTCCTGGAAGTGCCTTTTCCATACTGGAATCACCAACTCCTGGAAATGCCTTTTCCTGCTGGAATCCTTGGAGTGCCTTTTCCCTGCTGGGATCAAACCCAAACTCCTGGAAGTGCCTTTTCCCTGCTGGGATCCTGGGAGTGCCTTTTCCCTGCTGGGATCAGACCAAACTCCTGGAAACACCTTTTATCCATTGGGATCAAACCCAAACTCCTGGAAACACCTTTTCCCTGTTGGAATCAAACCCAAACTCCTGGAAACGCCTTTTACCTGCTGGGATCAAACCCAAACTCCTGGAAGTGCCTTTTCCCCACTGGAATGAAACCCAAACTCCTGGAAGTGCCTTTTATCCACTGGGATCAAACCCAAACTCCTGGAAGTGCCTTTTCCCACTGGAATCACTCAACTCCTGGAAGTGCCTTTTCCATGTTGGAATCAAATCCAAATTCCTGGAAGTGCCTTTTCCCTGCTGGGATCAAACCCAAACTCCTGGAAGTGCCTTTTCCCTGCTGGGATCAAACCCAAATTCCTGGAAGTGCCTTTCCCTGCTGGGATCAAACCCAAACTCCTGGGAGTGCCTTTTCCCCTGCTGGGATCAAACCCAAACTCCTGGAAGTGCCTTTATCCACTGGGATCAAACCCAAACTCCTGGAAGGCCTTCCCTGGGATCAAACCCAATTTTACCCTCCACTGGGATCAAACCCAAACTCCTGGAAGTGCCTTTTCCTGCTGGGATCAAACCCAAACTCCTGGAAACACCTTTATCCACTGGGATCAAACCCAAACTCCTGGGAGCCTTTTCCCACTGGAATGAAACCCAAACTCCTGGAAGTGCCTTTTATCCACTGGGATCAAACCCAAAGTCCTGGAAACACCTTTTATCCACTGGGATCAAACCCAATCTCCTGGAAGTGCCTTTTCCCTGCTGGGATCCTGGAAGTGCCTTTTCCCTGCTGGAATCAAACCCAAATTCCTGGAAGTGCCTTTTCCCTGCTGGGATCAAACCCAAACTCCTGGAAGTGCCTTTTATCCACTGGGATCAACCCCAAATTCCTGGAAGTGCCTTTTTCCCACTGGGATCAAACCCAAACTCCTGGAAGTGCCTTTTCCCTACTGGGATCAAACCCAAACTCCTGGAAGTGCCTTTATCCACTGGGATCAAACCCAAATTCCTGGAAGTGCCTTTTTTCCTCCTGGAATCAAACCCAAACTCCTGGGAACACCTTTTATCCACTGGGATCAACCCCAAACTCCTGGAAGTGCCTTTTCCCTGCTGGGATCAAACCCAAACTCCTGGAAACACCTTTTATCCACTGGGATCAAACCCAAACTCCTGGAAGTGCCTTTTCCCTGCTGGGATCAAACCCAAATTCCTGGAAGTGCCTTTTCCCTGCTGGGATCAAACCCAAACTCCTGGAAACACCTTTTATCCACTGGAATGAAACCCAAACTCCTGGGATCAAACCCAAACTCCTGGAAGTGCCTTTTCCCTGTTGGGATCCTAGAAGTGCCTTTTCCCACTGGGATCAAACCCAAACTCCTGGAAGTGCCTTTCCTGCTGGGTCCTGAAGGCCTTTCCTGCTGGGATCAACCCCAAACTCCTGGAAGTGCCTTTTCCTACTGGAACGAAACCCAAACTCCTGGGATCAAACCCAAACTCCTGGAAGTGCCTTTTCCCACTGGAATCAAACCCAAACTCTTGGGATCAAACCCAAATTCCTGGAAACACCTTTACCCACTGGAATGAAACCCAAACTCCTGGGATCAAACCCAAACTCCTGGAAGTGCCTTTTCCCACTGGGATCAAACCCAAACTCCTGGAAGTGCCTTTTCCCTGCTGGGATCCTGGAAGTGCCTTTTCCCTGCTGTGATCCTGGATGTGTCTTTTCCCTGCTGGGATCAACCCCAAACTCCTGGAAGTGCCTTTTCCCTGCTGGGATCCTGGAAGTGCCTTTTCCCTGCTGGGATCAAACCCAAACTCCTGGAAACACCTTTTATCCATTGGGATCAAACCCAAACTCCTGGAAGTGCCTTTTCCCTGCTGGAATCAAACCCAAACTCCTGGAAGTGCCTTTTTCCCACTGGGATCAAACTCAAATTCCTGGAAGTGCCTTTTCCCTGCTGGGATCAAACCCAAACTCCTGGAAGTGCCTTTTCCCTGCTGGAATCAACCACAAACTCCTGGAAGTGCCTTTTCCCTGCTGGGATCCTGGAAGTGCCTTTTCCCTGCTGGAATCAAACCCAAACTCCTGGAAGTGCCTTTTCCCTGCTGGGATCAAACCCAAACTCCTGGGATCAAACCCAAATTCCTGGAAGTGCCTTTTCCCTGCTGGGATCAAACTCAAATTCCTGGAAGTGCCTTTTCCCTGCTGGGATCAAATCCAAACTCCTGGAAGTGCCTTTTCCCTGCTGGAATCAAACCCAAACTCCTGGAAGTGCCTTTTCCCAAGGGATCAACCCCAAACTCCTGGGAGTGCCTTTTCCCTGCTGGGATCAAACCCAAACTCCTGGAAGTGCCTTTTATCCACTGGAATCAAACCCAAACTCCTGGAAGTGCCTTTTCCCTGCTGGAATCAAACCCAAATTCCTGGAAACACCTTTACCCACTGGAATGAAACCCAAACTCCTAGGATCAAACCCAAACTCCTGGAAGTGCCTTTTCCCACTGGGATCAACCCCAAACTCCTGGAAGTGCCTTTTCCCTGCTGGGATCAAACCCAAACTCCTGGAAGTGCCTTTTCCCTGCTGGGATCCTGGAAGTGCCTTTTCCCTGCTGGGATCAACCCAAACCCCCTAAAAATAATCCCTCTGAACCCCTGACTGGGTTCCTTCCACCTCCCACTCCCGGTGTCATTCCCGGTGCATTCCCGGCACTCCCAGCGTCGTTCCCAGTGCCGTTCCCGGCACTCCTGGCGTTCCGTGCATTCCTCGGAGTTGATGCCATTCCCGGCGTCATTCCCGGTGCCATTCCCGTCGTTTGCCCCTCACCCACCTCCTCCTGGCGCTCATATCGACGGGCTCGTCGCTGATGTTCTCCTTGCCGGGCCGGGCCCGGAGGCTCCCGTTGAGCTTCTCCTCGAAGGCCTTGAGGCCGTCGGGCTTGGGGGGCTCGAGCGGCGCCTCCAGCCCCGCCAGGTCCTTCCTCTTGAGCAGGGCCAGCATCTTGAGGCGCTCCATGGCCTCGTGGCCCTCCACCTTGAGCCGCTTGGCCAGAATGTCCTCCCGCTCATCAGCACCCCCCTCCAGCCCCCGCTTCAGCAGGTTCAGCCGCAGCGCGTCCTCCATCCTGCAAAAACACGGAGTTTTGGGATGGGGAATGGGATAGGGACACAGCCAGAATGTCCTCTGTCATCTGCTCCATCCTGGAATGATAGGGAATGTCAGGAATGGGACAGGGACACAGCCAGAATGTCCTCTGTCATCTGCTCCATCCTGGAATGACAGGGAATGTCAGGAATGGGATGGGGAATGGGACAGGGACATGGTCAGCATGCCAGCCTCTGTCATCTGCTCCATCCTGGAATGATAACCAGAGTCAGGGAATGGGATGGAGAATGGGATAGGGAGTGGGACAGGGACACGGGCAGTGCGTCCTCCGTCATCCGCTCCATCCTGGAATGATATCCAGAGTCAGGGAATGGGGAATGGGATGGAGAATGGGACATGGACATGGCCAGCAGGCCAGACTCTGTCATCTGCTCCATCCTGGAATGATATGGAATGTCAGGGAATGGGATGGAGAATGGGACAGGGAATGGGACAGGGACATGGCCAGTGCGTCCTCCGTCATCCGCTCCATCCTGGAATTAAAAACAGAGTCAGGGATGGGATAGGGAATGGGATTGGGGCAGTGCCTTCTCCTTCATCTGCTCCATCCTGGAATGATAACCAGAGTCAGGGAATGGGATAGGGAATGGGACAGGGACACGGGCAGCAGACCAGACTCCGTCATCTGCTCCATCCTGGAATGACATGGGGAGTCAGGGAATGGGGAATGGGATGGGGAATGAGATAGGGAATGGGATTGGGGCAGTGCCTCCTCCAACATCCACTCCATCCTGGAATTAACAATGAGAGTCAGGGAATGGGGAATGGGATGGGGAACATGCAGTGTGTCCTCTGTCATCCACTCTATCCTGGAATTAACAATGAGAGTCAGGAATGGGAATGGGGAATGGGATTGGGAATGGGATAGGGGAATGGGACAGGGAATGGGCAGCGTGTCCTCCATCATCCGCTCCATCCTGGAATTACAAACAGAGTCAGGAATGGGATGGGGAATGGGATTGGGAATGGGATAGGGGAATGGGACAGGGAATGGGCAGTGTGTCCTCCATCATCCACTCCATCCTGGAATTAACAATGAGAGTCAGGAATGGGAATGGGGAATGGGATGGGGAACATGCAGTGTGTCCTCCATCATCCACTCCATCCTGGAATTAACAATGAGAGTCAGGAATGGGAATGGGGAATGGGATGGGGAACATGCAGTGTGTCCTCCGTCATCCACTCCATCCTGGAATTAACAATGAGAGTCAGGAATGGGATAGGGAATGGGACAGGGACATGGCCAGCACATCCTCTGTCATCCGCTCCGTCCTGGAATGACAGGGAGAGTGAGGGAATGGGACAAGGAATGGGCCAGGAGAGGCCAGGGCTGTGCTGGGGGATGGGGACAGGGGAGGGACAGGGACACGGGCGGGTCCTGGATGGGGGATCCCAGGGAACCCCCCCGGGGTCCACTCGGAGCCCAACTCCGGCCTCAGAGAGCTCCAAAATCCCTGGAGAGCTCCAAAACCCCTGGAGAGCTCCAAAATCCCTGGAGAGCTCCAAAATCCTTGCAGAGCTCCAAAATCCTTGGAGAGCTCCAAAATCCTTGGAGAGCTCCAAAATCCTTGGAGAGCTCCAACCTCATCAGAGAGCTGCAAAATCCTTGGAGAGCTCCAAAATCCTTGCAGAGCTCCAAAATCCTTGGAGAGCTCCAAAATCCTTGGAGAGCTCCAAAATCCTTGGAGAGCTCCAACATCCTTGGAGAGCTCCAACTTCATCAGAGAGCTCCAACCTCATGGAGCTCCAAAATCCTTGGAGAGCTCCAACATCCTCATGGAGCTCCAAAATCCTTGGAGAGCTCCAACCCCCTCATGGATCTCCAACCCCCTCATGGATCTCCAACCTCACAGATCTCCAACCCCCTCATGGATATCCAGCCCCTTCCCAACCCTGGAGACAATTCCAGCCCCTTCCAAACCCCATTCCAACCCTGGAGACAATTCCAGCCCCTTCCCAACCCTGGAGACAATTCCAAACCCATCCCAGTCCTGGAGACAATTCCAGCCCCTTCCCAGCCCTGGAGACAATTCCAGCCCTGGAGACAATTCCAGCCCCATCCCAGCCCTGGAGACAATCACAGTCCTGGACACAATTCCAGCCCTGGAGACAATTCCAGCCCCTTCCCAGAGACAATTCCAGCCCCTTCCAAACCCTGGAGACAATTCCAGCCCTGGAGACAATTCCAGCCCCTTCCAAACCCTGGAGACAATTCCAGCCCTGGAGACAATTCCAGCCCCTTCCAAACCCCATCCCAACCCTGGAGACAATTCCAGCCCTGGAGACAATTCCAGCCCTGGAGACAATTCCAGCCCCTTCCCAACCCTGGAGACAATTCCAGCCCCATCGTAGCCCTGGAGACAATTCCAGTCCTGGACACAATTCCAGCCCCTTCCCAACGGAAAAACAGACGCAGAGGGAGGAAAAACCGGGAATAAAACCCCGGGAATGCCGGGGAGAAGGGGGAGGGGAAGGCGGGAGCAGCCCCTGGATCCATCCCGGGGCTCCCAGGATTCCCAAAGCAATCCCGAGGTGCCATCACCGGGATGGAGGATCCGCTCCGGAGCTTTTCCAGCCTCGCTCGGATCCCACAAAAATCCAGGAGGGTTTTTGGGTCCCGGTTGGAAGAAGGGGCAGGGGAGGATCTGCCGGGAATTCCCACCGGGAAAGTGGGAGCAGAGCCCTGGGTTCCATCCGGGCCGCTCCGATCCCGGCGGATCCGGAGGCTCCGGAGTCGGCACGGCGGGAAAGCTCATCCCAAACATCCCAAACATCCCAAACTGGTTCATCCCAAACTGGTTCATCCCAAACTGGTTGATCCCAAACAAACATCCCAAACCGGCCGATCCGGCCCCGCCGCCGCTCCCGGCAATCGGCACCTCCCGGGATCCGGAGCTTCCCAGGGAACCGGAGCCGCCTCTGCCGCCGTTCTGCTCCCGAAAACCCCGGGAAAACATTCCCAAAACCTTGGGAAATGTTTCCAAACACCGGGAAAACATTCCCAAAACCCTGGGAAAACCTTGGGAAATGTTCCCAAACCCTGGGAAAACATTCCCAAAACCTGGGAAAAACCTTCCCAAACCCCAGGAAAACCTCGGGAAAACCTTCCCAAAACCTGGGAAAACCTTCCCAAACCCCAGGAAAACATTCCCAAACCCCTGGAAAACATTCCCAAACCCCTGGAAAACATTCCCAAACACTGGGAAAACCCTGGAAAAATCTTCCCAAACCCCAGGAAAACCTCGGGAAAACCTTCCCAAAACCTGGGAAAACCTTGGGAAATGTTTCCAAACAGTGGCAAAACCCCGGAAAAATCTTCCCAAACCCCAGGAAAACCTTCCCAAACCCCGGGAAAACCTTCCCAAACCCTGGGAAAACCTTGGGAAATGTTCCCAGACACTGGGAAAACATTCCCCAAACCCTGGGAAAACCTTGGGAAATGTTCCCAAACCCTGGGAAAACATTCCCAACACCTGGGAAAAACCTTCCCAAACCCCAGGAAAACCTCGGGAAAACCTTCCCAAAACTTGGGAAAACCTTGGGAAATGTTCTCAAACACCAGGAAAACCTTCCCAAACCCTGGGAAAAACCTTCCCAAACCCCAGGAAAACATTCCCAAACCCCAGGAAAACCTTCCCAAACCCTGGGAAAACCTTCCCAAACCCTGGGAAAACATTCCCAAACCCTGGGAAAACCCTGGGAAAATCTTCCCAAACCCCAGGAAAAACCTTTCCAAACCCCGGGAAAACCTTCCCAAACCCTGGGAAAACCTCGGGAAACGTTCCCAAACACCAGGAAAACCCTGGAAAAATCTTCCCAAACCCCAGGAAAACCTTCCCAAACCCCGGGAAAACATTCCCAAACCCCAGGAAAACCTCAGAAAACGTTCCCAGACCCCGAGAAAACCTTCCCAAACCCTGGGAAAACCCTGGAAAAATCTTCCCAAACCCCAGGAAAAACCTTCCCAAACCCTGGGAAAACATTCCCAAACCCCAGGAAGACCTCAGAAAACGTTCCCAGACCCTGGGAAAACCTTCCCAAATCCCGGGAAAACCCTGGAAAAAACTTTCCAAACCCCAAGAAAAACCTTCCCAAAACCCAGGAAAACCTCGGAAAACGTTCCCAGACCCCGGGAAAACCTTCCCAAATCCCGGGAAAACCCCGGAAAAACCTTCCCAAACCCCAGGAAAACATTCCCAAAACCCAGGAAAACCCTGGAAAATGTTCCCAAACCCCAGGAAAACCTCGGAAAATGTTCCCAAAGCCCAGGAAAACCCTGGAAAAATCTTCCCAAAGCCTGGGAAAACCTGGGAAAACGTTCCCAAACCCCTGGAAAACATTCCCAAAACCTGGGAAAACCTCGGAAAATGTTCCCAGACCCCGGGAAAACCCTGGAAAAACCTTCCCAAACCCCGGGAAAAGTTTCCAAAACCTGGGAAAACCTTGGGAAAACCTTCCCAAACCCTGGGAAAACCCCAGGAAAATGTTCCCAAACCCCAGGGAAACCTCGGAAAACGTTCCCAAACCCCGGGAAAACCTTCCCAAAACCCCAGGAAAACATTCCCAGACCACAGGAAAACCCCGGAAAAATCTTCCCAAACCCCAAGAAAAACCTTTCCAAACCCCAGGAAAACATTCCCAAAAACCAGGAAAACCCCGGGAAAACATTCCCAAAGCCCGGGAAAACCTTGGAAAACGTTCCCAAACCCCGGGAAAACCTCGGGAAAACGTTCCCAAAGCCCGGGAAAACCCCAGGAAAACGGGAGTCAAATCCCTGGGGCGCCTCCCACCGGGATCAGCCCGGCCTGGGAATGGGATCCTGGGCTGAGATTCCAGAGGCTGCCGGGGTGGGATGAGCACAGAGGGAATTGGACCTTGGAAAGCTCATCCCAAACATCCCAAGCCAGGGGGATCCCAGAGGTGACGATTCCTGGTTTTCCAGGGGATCCCGGCGCGTTCCCAGACAAACAAAACGGCTCTCGCTTTTCCAGGGGGATCCCACCCTGGATCCCAACCTTGGATCTGACCCTGGAGCCCATCCTGGATCCCACCCTGGATCTGACTCTGAATCCCAACCTTGGAGTCAACCCTGGAGCTGACCCTGGATCCGACTCTGGATCCAACCCTGGATCCAAGCCTGGATAAAACCCCAAATCCAGCCCTGGATCCCACCCTGGATCCAAGCCTGGATCTGACCCCGGATTGCACCCCGGAGACAACCCCAAATCCAGCCCTGGATCCCACCCCGGATCTGACTCTGGATCCCACCCTGGATCCAACCCTGGAGCTGACCCTGGATCCGAGCCTGGATCCCACCCCGGAGACAACCCCAAATCCAGCTCTGGATCCCACCCTGGATACAACCTCAGATCCAATCCTGGATCCCACCCCGGAGCTGAGCCTGGATCCCAGCCTGGTTCCGACCCTGGACCCAACCCTGGATCCCACCCTGGATGCAACCCTGGATACAATCCTGGATACAATCCTGGATACAATCCTGGATCCACCCCCAAATCCAGCCCTGGATCCCACCCTGGATACAACCTCAGATCCCACCTGGATCCGACCCTGGATCCCAGCCAGGATCCGACTCCGGAGCCAACCCTGGATCTGAGCCTGGATCCAACCCTGGATCCCACCCTGAATCCCACCCTGGATCCCATCCTGGATCCCATCCTGGATCCCATCCCAGATCTGACCCTGAATCCCATCCCAGATCTGACCCTGGATCCCACCCTGGATCCCATCCTGGATCCAACCCTGGATCCCACCCTGGATCCCATCCCAGATCTGGCCCTGTATCCCATCCTGAATCCCACCCTGGATCCCACTCTGGATCCCACCCGGATTGACCGGATCCGAGTCTGGATCCCATCCCAGATCTGACCCCAGAGCCAACCCTGGATCCCATCCCAGATCTGACCCTGAATCCCACCCTGGATCCCAGCCACGATCTGACCCCAGAGCCAACCCTGGATCCCATCCTGGATCCCACCCTGGATCCGAGCCTGGATCCCACCCTGAATCCCATCCCAGATCTGACCCTGGATCTGACCCTGGATCCCATCCCAGATCTGACCCTGAATCCCACCCTGGATCCCATCCTGAATCCCAGTCAGGATTTGACCCCAGAGCCAACCCTGGATCTCACCCTGGATCCCATCCCAGAGCTGACCCTGAATCCCACCCTGAATCCCACCCCAGATCCCACCCCAGATCCATCGACCCCCCCTCCATTCCCCAAACCCCCATCCCACCATCCCAGCCCCGATCCCGATCCCGATCCCGCTCCCGGGACGCTCCAGCCGGGCCATCCCAAGCACCCCCAACCCCTGCAGGGCCAGGACAAGGAATCCCAACCCCAGCACCAAACCCAGCCTCCAACCATTCCCAAAAATCCCCCTTCCCAGCCAGCAGGATCCACGAGGAGCTCCTTTTGTGCGGCCATCCCGAAAAAAAAATGGGAATGGGAATGGGGAGGGGGGTGGGAAATACTCACAGCTCCAAGATTCCTGCTGGGCAGGGAAATCAGGGCAGGGAGAGAGGGAAGAGGGTTGGGAAAGGGGGGGATCCATCCCGTCCTTCCCTTCCTTTCCCTTCTTTTCCCTTCCTTTCCTTTCCCTGTCAATCCAATCCCGGAGAGGGAAGGGATTAAACAAAAGGAATGGGAAAAAAAAAAAGGGGGATGTTGCTGCTGCTGCTGCTGCTGCTGCTGCTGCTGCTGCTCCCGGGCTCCTTCCCGACAGCCCCCGCGGGAAAGGGAAGAGGGAGAAGGGTTGGGAAGGAAGGGAAGGAAAAAAAAACGGGAATTCAAAAAAAAACGGAAAAAAACCGGGAAAAATCCCCAAAAAATCCCCAAAAAACGGATCCGGTCGTGGGCGGATTTTGGTGGCTCCAGGAGAGGGGGGAGGGGAGGGGATGGCAGAGGGATCTTTGGGAATGAGGGGTGGGATTTAAAGGGGGGATATTCCCGGTTTTTTTCTCCCCTGCCCCCAGCCCTGGATCCCGGCCAAACTTTGGCTCCATTCCCGGGAATTTTAACCCCTCGTGGTCCGGGGGAGGAGCCGCCCCTGGGAGCATTCCTGGGAAAAATCCACCCCTCCTCAGCCCGGGATGGGGATGGGAATGCTGGGAATAAAGACAGGGATGGATTTGGGGGGGGGATCCAGCCAGGAATGGCTCCAGTGCCAAGGAAGGTGCCAGAATTCCAGAGGAGATGCCAAAGGAAGGGAAAAAAAAAACCAGGAAAGAGTCATGGAAAAAAAAAAAAAAAAAAAGGGAAAACCTCGGGAAAAGTGGAGATGGATCCAGGCTGGGATGGGGAGGGGGGAGATCCCAAGGGAGGATCCCGAGGGATGAGGGGGGAGATTCCAGAGGAAGGGGCCGAGGAATGGGGGGAGAGGATGGAGAAGATTCCAAAGGATCCCAGGGAAAGATTCCAAAGGATCCAAGAGGAAGATTCCAAAGGATCCAAGGGAAAGATGGCAAAGGATCCAAAGGAAGATTCCAAAGGATCCCAGGGAAAGATTCCAAAGGATCCAAGGGAAAGATTCCAAAGGATCCCAGTGAAAGATTCCAAAGGATCCCAGGGAAAGATGCCAAAAGATCCAAAGGAAGATTCCCAGGGAAGATGTCAAAGGATCCCAGGGAAGATGCCAAAGGATCCCAGGGAAAGATTCCAAAGGATCCCAGGGGAGATTCCAAAGGATCCCAGGGAAAGATTCCAAAGGATCCCAGGGAAAGATTCCAAAGGATCCCAGGGAAAGATTCCAAAGGATCCCAGGGAAGATTCCAAAGGATCCCAGGGAAAGATTCCAAAGGATCCCAGGAAAGATTTCAAAGGATCCCAGGGAAAGATTCCAAAGGATCCAAGGGAAAGATTCCAAAGGATCCAAGGGAAAGATCCCAAAGGATCCAAAGGAAGATTCCAAAGGATCCCAGGGAAAGATTCCAAAGGATCCCAGGGGAGATTCCAAAGGATCCCAGGGAAGATTCCCAGGGAAGATTCCCAAGGAAGATTCCCAGGGAAGATTCCCAGGGATGTGGTCAAGGACACCCCACCCCGGTCCGGATGGATTTGGGAGGGTTTGGAATCTCCCCTTCCATCAGAAAGGGAGGATCCAGCGGGATTTGGGCTTTTCCAAGGGAAATCTGGGATAATGGGAAGGATCCAAAGGTGATCCTGGGTCAAATTCCTGGATCTGCTTCAGGTGCCCGAATTCCCGAGCCCTGGGAACAAATCCTGGAATTCCAGGTGGATTTGGGGGAATTCAGGTGGAGTTTGGGGAATCTCAGTGGGATTGGGGCTGGAAAAGTGGAGGGAGGAGAAATTCCCGGTGGGAATTTGGGGTGAATTCCGACATTTCCCTTCCCCCACATCATCCCTAAAAAAACTCCTGGAAAAGAACCTCCAGCACCAACAAAATCCAGGGAAAATCCCAGCAATCCCAGCCCAGGCATCACCGCATTCCCGGGATCAGGGGCAGAAATCCCGGCTTTTCCAGGGGGAAACTGAAAATTTGGGATTGCAGGAGGAAACACGGAGAGGATGGAGCCCAAATCCAGAGATTCCAATTCCACAGATCCCAAATTGACAGATCCCAAATCCAGAGATCCCAAATCCAGAGATCCCAAATCCAGAGATCCCAAATCCACAGATCCCAATTCCACAGATCCCAAATCCAGAGATCCCAAATTCAGAGATTCCAATTCCACAGATCCCAAATTGACAGATCCCAAATCCAGAAAGATCCCAAATCCAGAGATCCCAAATCCACAGATCCCAAATCCAGAGATCAAAAATCCAGAGATTCCCAAATCCACAGATCACAAATTCACAGATCCCAAATCCAGAGAGATCTCAAATCCACCGATCCCAAACCCACAGATCCCAAATCCAGAGAATCCCAAATCCACAGATCCCAACTCCACAGATCACAATTCCAGAGATTCCAAATCCACAGATCCCAAATCCAGAGATCCCAAATCCCCAGATCCCAAATCCACAGATCCCAAATCCACAAATCCCAAATCCACAGATCCCAAATCCAGAGAATCCCAAATCCACAGATCCCAAATCCACAGATCCCAAATCCAGAGATCCCAAATCCACAGATCCCAAATCCAGAGATCCCAAATCCACAGATTCCAAATCCACAGATCTCAAATCCACAGATCCCAAATCCACAGATCCCAAATCCAGAGATCCCAAATCCACAGATCCCAAATCCAGAGATCCCAAATCCACAGATCCCAATTCCAGAGATCCCAAATCCACAGATCACAATTCCAGTGATCCCAAATCCACAGATCCAAATCCACAGATCCCAAATTCACAGATCCCAAATTCACAGATCCCAAATCCACAGATCCCAAATCCAGAGAGATCCCAAGTTCACAGATCCCAAATCCAGAGATATCCCAAATCCAGAAATCCCAAATCCACAGATCCCAAATCCACAAAGATCCCAAATCCACAGATCTCAACTCCAGGTCCATCCTCCCATCCCAGCAGCTCCAAATTCCCCCCTCACTCCAGATCCAAAGATTCCCAAGGCTGGAAAACCCCCCCAAATCAGGAATTTTCCCTGTTCTTTTTCACTCCCACATCCCTGATTCCCAAAATATCTGGGATCCTTCGGGGGGAGGATCTGGGATGAGCCAGAGGAGCCCCAAAAGCAGCTCCAGAAAGGGGGATCCCAAAAAGCAGGGAAGGGGGATCCCAGGATTCCAAAGGACTGGGAACACGGCACTGGATCCAAGGGGGGGATCCAAGGAATGCAGGGAATTCCAGAACAAAGGAATGGGGGATCCACAGGGATTGGGGAACCCTATGGATAGGGGGGATTCCTATGGATAGAGGGGATTCCTATGGATAGGGGGGATCCCT